ACGTTTTATCAGACATCTTCTTCCTCGAAACTCAGTATAAGTTTAGGTTAACATAATTCAAATCATAAAAGTATAACTAAATCATGAGCTGCAGTTAAAAAAAAATGCGTAAGTATTTTTCTCACAACTTCTAACAGGGAATGGAATATTTTATTTGTGCAACTAGTAAGCAAAGTGAGCAATTGCATCACAAGATTGCACTTTAGCACTCGAGTTGCACATTTTATTTTTACTACAGTTACCGTAAAACGAATAAATTGGTAAATAAACGTGCCTTCACGTTGCAAATCTGGAGTGAGACAATGTTAACATTGTCTTATTGATGAGCGAATTGGCCACTTTCGTGCCTTCACGTTGCAAATCTGGAGTGAGACAATGTTAACATTGTCTCACTGATGAGTGAATTGGCCACTTTGTTTCTCAAATCAGTGAGATAACATGTACATTGTTAGGTAACTGTAGGAAAAGATATTATAAATGCATGTTGTCAAATAGCTTTTATCCAGTGTCTTGAAAACATATTCATATAATATTTAACAGTTCAGACATTTACTAGGTATCGTAACATTAAAATGTTTTATCATATTTTAATAAAGTTTGTTCAGTTCAAAGTAATAGTTTTTAAGCAATTAATTAGTCTTTGGCAAAAATAACTACTTTGTCGAAGACTAATGATAATTATGTTTGTGAAGCCAACTTAGCCTAGAAAACATGATTACCCTCATTTCAAATTATATTTCACTAAATGCGAATTAAATATAGTTTGAAGAAATTAAAAAAATTGCAATTTATGAACATTTCGAAACCTGAATAAATGGTTTAATGGGAAACACAAAAGGAGGCAAAATATAAAAGTTTCCTTAGTTCCTGCCAGGTACACATAACTCTAATTCAAAAACTTTGAGTTGTACATATAAGTTCGGAGTTCTTTTCTGCAACATTTGAGTGGTAGACAAACAGAACAATGTTCTGTACCTTATAAGCCTACCCTGTGATATTATGTGTTTCACTAACGAATGAACCATGCCCTCGAGCCTGCCCCCAGACTAACGAAATGGAAGCGTGATCCATGCGCAGGCCCGAGGAGCGGCTCACAAAACTTTACTTAACAAAATGAGAACCATGGATGGAGGCTCAAGAACAACACGCCATTTGAGAGAAACGAGCTGTAATTAACCATTTAAAAGAACAACACAACAATAATTAACAATAATACATGAATTAAATACTCTCAATAAAACTTTAAAAAATTTTGATACCACTCTGACCTACTCACTTACAACATTAATTAAAAAAAATTCAAAATAGGCTAATTTCAGTCAAAGTAAATTTAATCAGTTTTAACCTTTAAATTAACAAATTACAACAATGAAATATCTAATGACTCTTTTAATAAATTCATTTCATGGTAACTATAGAAAATTTAGGGGCCCCAAAATTGAAATTTAATAGAATATGTATTTGATAATATGATAGAATTTAAAAGTGTCAACAAATAGGCTAATACACTGAAAATAAAATTTTAAACAGATAACAATAAATATAACTTTGTAGGCCTATGACAACTAATACTGTAAATAGTCTCTTCCTTTTGTGGAATAAAACTATAAAACATAACAACAACAGCAACAATGGTAACTTGCGGTAGGGCGGTGTAGAATGTCACTACTTTCGGGCGGACAGCACCGGAGGGGAGATGCAGCAGGGCGGAGAGGGGGCCATAATTCAAGAAGCAGCCAGGGTGTTGCGAACTTCCCCTCTGCTGTGGTAGAACATGTCCATCTTAGTCCTCCTCACGGGCCCTGAGTAACAAACCCAGAAAACACAGTAGTCACAGTCTAAGTTCATTACGGCAAGGTTCACTGTCACACATTTGTTTTGTTTTTCACTGACTTCCAAAAATCCACAGATTAGGCCTAACATAATATTTTCAAAAAAATTATAAATTTTTAAAAGGTTTATCTCTCTTTAACAGCTCTTTAACAATATAAAACATTTTAAACAATAACAATATTTTAAACATAACAATTAACAGGTTAAACAGTACAAGAATGGTAACATTAATATTTGCGGTAAAACCGTCAGCAGGCCAGACAGGTATGTGACAGTGGTAAATTTCACCAATAGAGAGAAAATATTTAAATTGTCTGGTCCAAAGTGGCCAGAAGAACAAGTTAACAGAGAACAATTGACACTTAAACACAGAGAAATACTTTAAAATTGACAAAAAACGTTCCATACAAAAATTTTAGGCCTAACGCAACGACTCATGTATTTTTGCTAATTTCTCCAAAAGTTGTGATCCGAATTTGTTTGGAATGGTCTTAAAAGCTGGGGGAAATGTTCCAGCAGCTTCTCCAGACCATTCCAAACCTTAACTCAAAGGCTGAAACCAGTGGCCTTCCGTGTTACCCAGTTCAAACCTGAATGGAGAATTGCCAAACTCTTAAATCCTCATAACTTTCTTAAAACTTGAGCAAAATGACTCAAACTTTCTGAGGAGCTTTAAGAGCAGTTAATACAACTTAATTTAACTACTTTGGCAAGGACAAAGCAAAATAAAAGACTTTAACCTTACTTGACTGGGTAACACAAACTGAACATTTTACAAGACAAAACAACACTAAAAATTGTACGGGACACAGAAACAAAAGACTACCAGAGTAGTAGCCTAAGACAATTACATTTACTGAGCAAAATTGTAAGCCTAGGCCTACCACAAAACAGTCAGAAGGACCCAAAACTGACTTGGCAGTTTCTCTCAAATAGCGGCCTTCCAACAAACATTTCTCAGTCAATTCTAGGCCTAGCATTTCGGGCAAAGCCCTGAATTATACAAAACCACAGAGAACAGGGAAACTAACTATCAAAAGTCTTCCACGACCCCAAGACTAGGTTCCAGACCTAGTGCAACCATGTGCAAAAACCTAACCTTAGAAAAAATGTGCAAAACTCACCCAAAAGGCGCGCGTGGCGCGATAAATTTAATCCATGGTCGACGTTTGTCTCCTCTTGAACCAAATAGGGGCAATTAACATTAAAACCATGCCACAAACTTTAAGATGAAATCGGATAACCAAAATGAGCCGACCCGGAGTCGAGCAACGCCACACAACCTATAAGTTGCTGGCGGAAAAAGAGTAAAAAGAACAAAACCCACAGCCTTGTTCGGGGGGCCGTGGAGTGACAACGAAACACTGAACTAGCCTACTATAAAAAAACACTTGAACCATTGATCATGAGTCGTGACATTCGCCCGGTGGAAATAGTCACGGCTCACGAACCACCACATGTTTATAATCATTGCATAAAGTATTTAAAGAAAATTAATTTTTAGTTACTTTTATAGTTTCACAATTTAGATCATAATTATATCTGGTTTTTAGATAATTGGTTTGAGCAATTAGGAGGAATTGAGACAAATTTAATCCCAAATGTTTAAAAATATTTTTTTTTCTTCCAAAGAAGAAAATTATTATACTACCTAATAGAGACACAGCTCATTTTCTTGTCTTAGTCTTATTGACTTTTTCCAGTAGAAAAAATACACTTTACTACAATTTGTTATAACCAACATCGTTGTAAGCCAGCTGCTTATGCAGCATTTATCAGCATAAAATACTTTAGGAGCAATGTACCATTAGGATTAGATTAGCTCACCCCTGACACAAGATTTATTTTATAAGTAAATTAAGATAAGATATTTAGGAGTCAAGGTGCATTTGAAACTGAAATTAGATTTGCTTTAAAGGGTTAGAGTTAAAGTCACATTAGATTCATTTTAAACTGAAATTAAATTCGCTTTAATTAGATTATATATCTTATGCTGTAACTTTGGGTAATGCTGCCCCTACATACAAAATTACACATTATTTGTAAAAAATATCCCCTTTACGTTTTTTGAAGGATCAAAAACTACATATTTTAACAATAGTCCTCAAAACTCAAGCATGTTACGAAGTCTGCAGCTTATTATAAGAGCTACCGGTACGTATTTAAATTAAGACAACCATTTTTACAAGCATAAGAAAAGAAATACCAAATGTAGGATTGTAATTAGATAAAGGATAAAAATGCTGTCGTTTTATAATTTAGTACCTTGATTCGAAATTCAATACTTTAGTATCTGTTATTTTACCATACGAATAGGAGATAATCATAGATTAAGATAAACATTAAAACATGTAATGTGATCCCTTAATGGGGAGAGTATCTCAAATGCATTTGAATTGATTGACCTCAACCAAGGCCCCACTAGAAAAAACAGGCCATGCTGCAGCGCGTGTAGCGCAACACTACGTCACAGTGGTGGATAGTTGTACTAAACTCTTACCATTAAAATCCCACAAACAGACAGCTTGTTTATTTACCTAAAACATATGGGGATGGTGATGGCAATGAATTTATCAATGAAATCTATCCACTAGTGTGACGTCATGGATCCTGCAGCATGGCCTGCTTTTTCTAGTGGGGCCTTGCCTCAACTAATATGATAACTATGCGATCACACGTCCCATGACTATAAAACAATTTGGCCCCAATATTTCATCATAGGTTTACAAAGAAGTAATGTTTAAGTTTTTCATCACTCTCTATTAGAAAATAACTCATTCTAATGGAGATGGGGATTGAGATTAACATGGAGATGGAGATGAACATGGAGATGGAGATGAACATGGAGATTGAGAATGAGATTAACATGAAACGGAGATGGAGATTGAGATAAATATGGAGATGAAGATCGAGATGGGGTGGAGATGGGGAGGAACATGGATATAGAGAATTGGAGATTGAGATTGAGATGAGCATGGAGATGAAGATGGAAATTAACATGGAGATGGAGATTAACATGGAAATGGAAATGAAGCTGGTCATGGAGATGGAGCTGAGATGAACATGGAGATGGAGATTGATGGAGAATAACATAAAGATGGAGATTGAGATGAATATTAACATGAATGTGGAGATGAACATGTAGATTGAGATGGAGATGGAGTAACATGGAGATAGAGATGAACATGGAGTTAGAGATTAACATGGAGATGGCGATTGAGATGGAGATTGAGATGGAGTTGGAGATGGAGATTGAGATAAACATGGAGATGGAGATTAATATGGAGTTAGAAATGAAGATAAGCATGTTGATGAACATTGAGTTAGAGATGGAGATGAACATGGAGATGTAGATAAACATAGAGGTGGAGATTAAGATCAAGTTTTTTCTCATTACTCATTACTCACAACTCACAACTACATCACTCATCAACCATCACCCATCACAAATCACTCATCACTCATCACTCATCACTCATCACCCATCACTCATCACTCATCACTCATTACCCATTACTCACTACTAACTACTCATAAATAACAACTCAAAACTCATTACTCATTAATCATTACTCAATACTCATTACTCAATACTCACTACTCACTACTCACTACTCACTACTCACTACCCACTACCCACTACTCACTACTCACAACCCATTACTCATTACTCACTACTCATTACTCATTACTCATTACTCATTACTCATTACTCATTACTCATTACTCACTACTCACTACTCACTACTCACTACTCATTACTCATTACTCACTAATCACTACTCATTACTCAATACTCAATACTCAATACTCACTATTCACTACTCGCTACTCATTAATAATTTACTCATTACTCACTACTCGCTACTCATTAATAATTGCTCATTACTCACTACTCACCACTCACCACTCATTACTCATTAATCACCACTCATTACTCATTACTCATTACTCAATACCCATTACTCACTACTCACTACTCATTACTAGGAAATGGAGAATAGTGAAAAGAGCAATCAGCAATGAGTAATGAGTAATAGTTTTTGAGTACTCACTCATCATTACTCACTTCTCACTCCTCACTACTCACTACTCACTACTCATTACTCATTACTCATTACTTACTAATCACTACTCGTCACTCATTACTCATTACTCATCACTCATCACTCATTACTAATTACCCAATAATCACTACTCACAACTCACTACTCACTACTAATGACTCAATACTCATTACTCACTACTCACTACTCATTACCTACTACTCACTACTCACTACTCATTACTCACTACTCACTACTCGTTACTTACTACTCACTACTTACTACTCACTACTAATTACTAATTACAAATTACTAACTACTCGTTACTAATTACTAATTACTCATTACTAACTCATCACTACTCGTTACTCATTAATCATTACTAATTATTCATTACTCATCACTCATCACTCATCACTCATTACCGAATACTCACTACTCACAACTCATTTCTAATTACCAATTACTCACTACTCACTACTCGTCACTCATTACTCATTACTCAATACTCACTACTCACTACTCACTCTTCACTACCCACTACTCACTCTTCACTCTTCACTACTCACTACTCACTACTCACTACTCACTAATCACTATTCACTACTCACTACTCATTACTCATTACTAATTACTAATAACTCACTACTCATTACTCATTACTAATTACTAATAACTCACTCCATATTACTAATTACCAATTACTCACTACTCACTACTCATCACTCACTACTCCACTACTCACTACTCCACTACTCACTACTCCACTACTCATTACTCACTACTCATTACTCACTACTCACTACTCATTACTCACTACTCACTACTCACTACTCACTACTCATTACTCATTACTCATTACTCATTACACACTACTCACTACTCACTACTCATTACTCATTACTCATTACTCACTACTCACTACTAACTACTAATTACTAATTACTCACTACTCATTACTCATTACTCACTACTAATTACTAATTACTCACTACTCATTACTTATTACTCATTACTCATTATTCATTACTCATAACTCATAACTCATAACTCATAACTCATTACTCATTACTCATTACTTATTTCTCACCACTCACTACTCACTACTCGTTACTCAATACTCATAACTCACTACTCACTTCTCGAAACACTACTCATTACTCATAATGCATTACTCGTCACTCATTACTCGTCACTCATTACTCATTACTCAATACTCATTACTCATTACTCATTATTCATTGATCATTACTCATTACTCATTACTCATTACTCATTACTCATTACTCATTACTCATTACTCATTACTCATTACTCAGTACTCATTACTCATTACTCATTACTCATTACTCATTACTCATTACTCATTACTCATTACTCATTACTCATTACTCATTACTCATTACTCATTACTCATTACTCATTACTCATTACTCATTACTTATTACTTATTACTCATTACTCATTACTCTTTACTCATCACTTATTACTCATTCCTCTTTATTCATTACTCATTCCTCCTTACTCATTACTCATTACTCATAACTCATTTGCTCATTACTCATTACTCAAAAACTATTACTTATTACTCATTGCTGATTGCTCTTTTCACTATTCTCCATTTCCTATTACCCATTCCTCATACCCTATTAACTTCGTTATTCTTTCCTTATTCTTATTTACATTTCATATACATTATCATTCTCATTTAAATATAAAAATATCCCCTTCAGACTGACCCATCGCCCATCACCCATATTTTATCACCTATCACCTATCTCCCATCACCCATCACCCATCACCCATCACTCATCACCCATCACCCATCACTCATCACCCATCACCTATCACCCATCACCATCACCTATCACCCATCACTCATCACCCATCACCCATCGCCCATCACCCATATTTTATCACCTATCACCTATCTCCCATCACCCATCACCCATCACCCATCACTCATAACCCATCACCTATCACCCATCACCATCACCTATCACCCATCACCCATCACCCATCACCCATCACCCATCACTCATCACCTATCACCCATCACCTATCACCCATCACCATCACCTATCACCCATCACCTATCACCCATCACCATCACCATCACCTATCACCCATCACCCATCACCTATCACCCATCACCCATCACCATCACCTATCACCCATCACTCATCACCCATCACCTATCACCCATCACCATCACCTATCACCCATCACCCATCACCCATCACCCATCACCCATCACCCATCACCCATCACCCATCACCCATCACCCATCACTTAAAAGGAGATGAAGTACATGGAGATGGAGAATGAACGTTGAGCATGAGGCTCATTGAAAAATGCGTGAAAATTGTTGTTCTAGATTAATATGGGCGGGGTATCATCACTTTCCATAATAAAAAATAGTAATTTTAAGACATTAAAAGACGGTTAGAAATAACAATTTGTTTCTATGGAGTGCTCAATAAGTACAAACGAGTAATGGTTGTATCCATGTTAAACGTTTCATAGATCTTTGCTTTTCGATTCAATCGCAACATTTTTAAGCCATTAATTAATTAATGCTTAGTTATACATTGCGTTATATTTTGTTGGGTTATAGATTCGCTTGCATTGATTTAATTGGTGAATTAAATTTATTTCAATGTAAATTTTATTAGATTTTCAATTATGGCTAATGGACCTGAAGTTGTTTCTATGCTTTCTTCTAATAATACAATGCTTAGCATGTTAATGAGGGATACGGCATACAGTTTTAGTATTAGTTCAGAGTTTATAACACTGTAGTTAAAAATTTTATTGGTAAAATGTTTTTACTATAACTATTATAGTCGTGAGTTCAAAGTGTGACAAAATATAAATATAGTAAGTTAAAATGTAAGAGCTGAGAAATTGCGTTAACAATAAAATTACCTCCATTGTTTGACTTTAAGTTGGTTAGGCAGGAAGTTGTTTAAGAAGTTGACTCTAGATTAAAACCAAAATGTAAATTTTGATATCTGAAGGGCTTGACATAATAAAGTGAAATGACTTCTCCATAAATTAATTTGCTTTTAAAACAGAAGTTTTTATTGAACTGTATAATGCTAATATATGGCTGTATTGATTTTTTTTCCATCATATTTTATGGTATCGTATTTTATTAAGACTGGTTTGAACATGCATTCTTACACCAGGATTCACATACGGTATGGTACGAAAAGTAAATTGGTGCCTGTACTAAATCCGTCCTAAAACAAATAATGTAGTAGGTATAATAAAATACCGAATATTGTCTAAGTCAAAACATATTGTTTATGAAGTACAAAAACTAGCATGGAATAATAATGTTTCAAATCGTATATATATGAAATAGTAATGAGTAGTAATTTAATTTAAACCGTAATCAGCATAAAATAGTTTACACATATTTACTAAATTTAATTCGAAGTATGTCTACATATTAATGGCCAACCTATAAAATACCTACAGGTTTATTATTTTTAACGTGGTACCATACGTGGTATTTATGGCCCATACGAGTCTTGAAAAAATCCTTAAAGTATCATAAAAGCAGTTGAATCGTAAAAAAACAGCCGTTTTTAGTTCACTTAATCGTCCACAAAATCATCGTTTTCGTTTAACTTCAAATAGAAAACAGAAAAATATATGGTAAAAATTTTCGAAGACTTTCTGTAAAACAAAATTATGTGGTCTAATTTTGTAACGATTAGAAGGTTATTTCCACAGTATGATGAAAATGGTTGTTAATCACACGGAGCAAAAGTGTATTTTGGGTACCGTATTTCTAAACTCGTCTGCGCCTCGCTTGTAAAACACGGTTGTATACAAAAACTAGCCACTTTCTCTCCTAGTGATATAACTACAATTTTTACTTAGGGCATCTTGCTAGTCTTTAATTTTCTAAAAAGTTTATTCATCGGGGACGAAAAAAAACTAGAAAATGACAAAATACCTGGTAAAAAAAAACTTTTTTCTTTTTGAAATTTTAATTTGGTTTGAACTAAATGTATGCCCAAAACATTATCACGGTGTTAAAAAACACAAATATGTAATTGTTTGATGTTTTATTTTTACTTACAATGAAAAACTGGAATGAGAACGTCATTTAAGCGAAGCAATTCAGACATCACTTATCGATGAGGAAAATGCGGGATAGACAAGCCAACTTCTATTGATAAGGCAGAATGCCCCATGTAAGCGACCTAGATCATTCAAACCTAACATTATTGGAACTGCGTCTGAATTGCAAATGCCAATATAATGATTGATGCATTTCTGGGTTACGCATAGTTCCTAGTTACTTGGCTGCCTAGTTAGATTTGTCTTCCTACTGCAACAATATTTTTAGTCTAGAGTGTTTACTATAGGCCTACTTATATTTTTCCATACAATTTTTTTTACTTCAAAAGTATCTTAAACCTTAGTCCTTAGTCCAAGTGGTGTGTGGCGCTGGACAAAAACTAATAACCCCAACTTTGACAAGTTTTCATATCGTTATAAACAACAGCTCAAGTTAAGCCGTCATTACCTATGGAACCACTGAAGATTGTTTTGTAGAATATGTTTTCCTTCCTTAGCTTATAGAGATTTGTTACAGTACAAACAAAACGTCTTGCCTAAGAAATATATCCTTAGTTTGCAGGTTTTTATCCGAGACCTTCTATGCTCAAGTTCCTTGCTCTAACCCTAAATTGTTACGTCGAAGAAATCTTAATGTTTATGTTGTGTTTAGTTTATTTTTAACAACCCAAATAGGGACTTAAAACCTCACTGTTTAGGGAGAGTTCCAACATCTGGTTTTGTTACTCGTTGCTAACCAGATATCTTCATCAATTAATAGCCGACAAATGGGATATTTATTTTTTGTTCAGAACCAACATCTTCGAATATCGAACTAGTGAACTTCAGGCTTGAAGGCATATCGGCATTCGTGACGAAAAAAAACTAAAACCTATTGGATTTAAATTTTTTAAAGAATGTTGCATTACCAAGTTGTCAGTTATTACATAGTTAATAAGTTAATGCCCTTGATACTCGCATATTCCGTTAATACAGTAGCTCTCACTGTCTACAGAGGCGACCCTCGTTGAGCGCAGCGATTGCTTTGGTTTACAACACAATAAACCAGGTTTATTACCGGAAACACGTTTTCGTTGGTGCTCTAGACCCTAAAAAGAGGTTACTTCCCTGTGTATTTACTATTTTTTTAGTGCTTTTGTTAAGCTCATTTTATTTGTTTAATTATATTTTTAGTTATATATATCATTTAATTGCATTTATATCACTTCTCTAAATTCCCGAAAAGAGTATTACTTACCTGTAATCTGTAAAAGTAACTTGTAATTAATTAAATTACAAAATAAATATAATAGCCCCTAAAACACAATTTTAAATACAAATTTAAGAGGGTTTCAACAAATATATTTCAATAGTATTTTTGTCAAATTTGTATATTTTGGGCAATTATAATTATAATAAGTTAATTTACTTGAACAGTTTTTATGTGATGTGTTTTATTTACGATAACATCACACCATTTGTTATAATTACCTTAATTAGATAGGTAATAACATTTTATACATGTAATAGAATCATCAAAAAGGGTAGTGTCTTTACCAAGGTGGCCTACTGTTTAATAGTAATTTTAGTTATATAGTAGATTTATGAGATTGTTTAAGTGTTTTCAATATTATTCCCTACTACTGTATTACTGGCATTAAAAATACCTTTTCCAATAACTGCCTTTATAAGGAAGGAGAAGAAACACAAATTGGACGAGAAAATAAGACGAGGTGGCAAGTCCAATTGCGAGCGGTAAACAGCTAAACAAGTTGTCCGGTCTCTATTACCTTTAATTTTTTCTGATCTGAGGTATCTGTTACACCTCTACACTCCAACTTCCTACATGAGGCTATTTATTTCAAAAAATATTTACAAAACTCTAAACAATTAATTTACGTTTTTCGATAATTTATGACGAGTAAAGTGAAACCCATGTCAATGTGTTACCCTAATAGGAAAATTTGTATTTATTAAATTTGTTTTAACATTATGTGTTTTTAACCATCCATATAAAATTGTATTGCTCCTTTTCTGTTATTTATAAGAATATACTAAAAATACTTAGTTGATAAAACTTACCAGATATAGTGTCCGCAGCACACTCATGGCCTGCTATTTTATTTCAATATGTTATTTTTATTGCTGAGAACGTATACAATACTAAAGACAGTAGCCAATAAATTTGAAGTAAATATATAATCCTTCTCAATAATCAATTAAGATAATATACCTGTAAATTTGGAGGATGTAAGTGATACTGATAAATATTCATAGTGGAGGTAGTGATCAAGCAGATGTTTTGTATTAACTGAGTTCAAACCTTACCTTTCAAAAATTGCCTGCGTGATAATTCCTTAACCCAGAATTTGTAATTAGCTAAACGACTAACTAACTAGAGTACAGAAAAGATAAGTCTCAATTGCGAGGCGTGCCTCGTCTGCATTACCGATCTCTTTCAACACAGTATTATGCGTCTTGTTTGGATATCACTGTGATTTTACGTAATTAAAAATTGCCTAACTACTAACCATCAAAAACAAGTTGTTAGAAATATTAACCCCACTGAATTCAATGTCACAAAAATCATTGCATATTGACTCCTTGAAATAAATTAATTACGGCAAAGGGTGGGCATAGATACGATATCGATATTTCGAACTATTACTATTTAGTAATAATAATGGGTTGGATATTGGATGCCAAACTGTGTGGGTAAATATCATAGCGGTAATATACGTTTGGGCATTTGAAGGCAATCATATTTCATTTCCTTAATTTCCTGTTTCATATATCAAAGTTTTGGCTTCGTCAAGTTTGTAATGTCTGTTTGAAATAAAATTTACGTAAAATAAATATGATTTAATTACGAACGTTTATAATTGAACAGTAAAATCTGAATATAAGTTGAGTATTTTAAGAAATATAAAAGCTAATCAAACACTGTCCTAGACATTTTCCTAGTCTCAATATCTAAAAATACTACTACGATCTAAATAACTAGAATATATCTTCCCTTTGAATTATTTCCAAGAATTTCTAATTAGGCCACAATGTTTTTGAAATTTTAGCTGAAAGTACAAATGTTATATCAATATTTTGGTTTTAAGAAAGCCATAACTAAACAAATTTAAAAAAAAATTCTGTACAGTGAACATGTTCTGCTTCAAAACATAACTTCATTGTAATTTTGTCCAATGCATAATGTTTTGCTTTAACGTTATATTCC